CGCCGCGCACGGCAGCTGCACCCCCGTCCTAGCGCAGGGCAGAACCTGCCCAGGGCTTCGGGGACAGAGACGAACTCCACGGGACTTGCACCCTGTGCGTGTCGCCCGTGGGAAATACAGCTGTGCTGTTTGGCTTTGCGTGAACACGAGCTCACAGAATCATCAAGGCTGGAAAGAGACCTCCAAGATCATCAGGTCCAACTGTTAATCAGCTACTGCTGATTACCCCAGTGCCAGATCCAGAGAGCTCTTCTCACAGTAGCTACAGGCTACCATCAAATCCATCACTATAAAACCATGAAGGACAAAGTGAATGAGGAAACTAGTACAGCCAGAAACTAAGAAGGCAACGAGTAAGGCCAGAAATATGAGCAAGTCAGTGTTCAAGAGATGAATGAATGAAAGTCCTTAAAGCAAGAGCAGTGCTGATAGTCACTGTCCAAGAGCTGAACTGGGCAGCTTGTCATGGCAATACACACCTCCTCGTGCTGGAGGCAGAGGCTCCACAGTAACGAGCCCAGTGTGACCACACGTAATCATGCTCATAGTGGCTACCATGACTGTTGTGATCCTCCTGTATTATCTGAGGCACTTGCCTTGTTAAAATACAGCCGCCGAAAATTAACATGTCCATGTTAAAAACTGAGCTGGAAGTCTGTTAACGTAGAGTCATTGAATGTTAAGGGACTGGAATGGACCTTAAAGATCTTCTAGTCCCAACCCTCTGCCCTGGGCAGGGACACCTCCCACCAGACCAGGCTGTTCATGGCTTTATCCAGCCCGGCTTTGAAAGCAGCTGAGGGGAAAAAGGCCAAGGACAGACCTGCCCTGCCCTTGATGGTAAAACTGTCAGGCACTGTTCAGTTCGAGCTTCAGGTCTGCAAGCATTTCCCCACCAGGCAGACACAGGATAGCCACAGCAGGTGATCCACACACTCCACAGCCAACTCATTAAAACAAATTAAACTGTTAAGAAAATCTCTGTTTTATTGTGTAACGTAGCATTGAAACATCTGAACAAATCAATAACTGGGCTGTACAGGCTGCTGTTCTTTCATTTCTTTGGGTTATAGAGCATCTTGTCAGTACATAGACAACAACCTTTTGCATTATAAATTCTCTCCGAGGCATGCTGGTACAACACAAATTTCTCTTATCAAATGCAGCTAAGTCTAACTTCCAAACATCATGCACAAGAAACTCATCTAGTGACAATGTAAACTCAGCAGAAGGGCAGGTCACAAGTCTTGCTTGCTCACGCTCTGCAGTGCTGCAGGTTTGTGTATGATATTTGGAATGTTCCGTGAGTGTGAATAATACCAGTTAAGAGAGGAGGAAAATAAAACAAACAAAAAAAAAAATAGCCTGGGTGCCTCGGGAGGAGCAGCTCAGCCAAAGTTGTGCAGTGCTAGCCTGAACATGTCATTGGTGCAAACCCAGGCATCGTTGATGTTCTTTAATAGAAATATCTGGTGGAATCCCATGATAGGATCTTCATCAGCCTGTAGAGAGAGAGGAGAAAAAAAGTTTAAGAAGCTCTTTATTTGAGAAACTTATTCCAAAACTCATAGTAAGACAAGTTAAAAGCTCATGTTAACAGCAATGTTGCATGCTGTAAGATGTGCAGTACCTCAGGAGACACCAATACTGCCAGAGGGTCCGTTCCATGGGACTCTGCAGACAAACCCCCAGGGCCCATTGCACAGAAATCCTGCAATGCCACCTGCAATTGGCGTTTTCTGGGAGACTTCCAAACAGAAATCCTGCAATGCCACCTGCAATCGGCGTTTTCTGAGAGACTTCCAGACATGTCACTCCTGCAGCTCCACAACACTGATAGAATGAGTTTGCCTCAGTGTTGAACCACAAATTCCTTGCCCAGGGACCAAGTTTAAGGCAAGGTGGTTCTAAATCATATTTTAGCTGCTGTACTTTGAACTGATGACAGAAGTGAGTTCCTGTAAAAGCTGGGATCATCAGCATTGCCTGAAAGATCCAGGTAATGCTCTGGGCTTTGAAAGCCTTCCCAGAGCAGGTACAGCAGGTCAGCAACACACTACTTCCCACTTCCACTGTCTAGGAACAGTCGGAAGGCAGAAAAGCATTGGCTATAGCTGCAACAATGTGTTCTAGCACAGGGAATGTGCAGTGTTGCACTCCTGCCTTTGCCACTGGGTACACTGATGTAGTGCCTGGACTGTACGCACAGTATTAAATGGAAGTAGAAAATAGTGTTAGAGGGAGACTAGTTATCCCATCTAATGTTTATTTACCAGTCACACAACAGGATTTAATCTGAACAGCACACAGGGCCCAAGCTACAAAACAATCTTCTGCTGTGTATTAAATTCAGCATTTTTGGAGGATTTTAAGCTTTATTCCTTCAACGTGCCTGGACTGTACGCACAGTATTAAATGGAAGTAGAAAATAGTGTTAGAGGGAGACTAGTTATCCCATCTAATGTTTATTTACCAGTCACACAACAGGATTTAATCTGAACAGCACACAGGGCCCAAGCTACAAAACAATCTTCTGCTGTGTATTAAATTCAGCATTTTTGGAGGATTTTAAGCTTTATTCCTTCAACACCTGACTATTCAGGAAATAGGGATTTTGAATATAAAAATGAGCCTTGAAAAGCAGCAGCCAGAGCAGCACATGAGACAGACTGTCAGAGCACTAAATGGTCATTGGCAATGCTCTGCTGCTGTCCACCAAGAACTGCAAAGTCTGAAGTGCAAAGCAGACTACAAAAAACTTCCCTCCAAAACCAAAAAATAAACTACTTAAAAAAAGTAATATTCATGTCTAGGATAAATTGACTGTGAAACAAATCAGCTACAAAAGGACATCAGTTATGCCACAGAACAGCAAGGCTGCCAGAGCACTGGTGGGCTCAAGTGCATGGAGAAACTGCATTCAGACCCAAAACCACTGCAAGGATTTCAGTGACAACTGCCCAGGATGTTAAATGGCATAGATGAAGTGCACATTCAGTAACTGTATGGTAATTCACAGAGGAAAACCAAAAAGGGCCCTAGATTGGCCCCTCAGGAAAGCATCACTGAAATAAGGATGGATATTTATTTATTAAACCATCTGAGAACTCCAAGCTATCAAGGCAAACACAGGGTTAGCAGTTATTAGGGAAGGAACAGAGAACCAAAACCCAGAAGTAAGCAAATGCATAGCTAAGCAGAGAATACCCACATGTCAAACCCTGCATGCATTTTTTATCATTTAAAAATATTAAAACGATACAATGAAGTCAGAAAAGTCAAAAATGATCTAGTTACAGCATAGCTTCCTACCGAAGAAAGTCAATTGAGTGCAACTCTGTGGCTTGCAGAAGTGTAATCAGAATGGGCAAAACAAATACATCACTATAAAACCATGAAGGACAAAGTGAATGAGGAAACTAGTACAGCCAGAAACTAAGAAGGCAACGAGTAAGGCCAGAAATATGAGCAAGTCAGTGTTCAAGAGATGAATGAATGAAAGTCCTTAAAGCAAGAGCAGTGCTGATAGTCACTGTCCAAGAGCTGAACTGGGCAGCTTGTCATGGCAATACACACCTCCTCATGCTGGAGGCAGAGGCTCCACAGTAACGAGCCCAGTGTGACCACATGGAATTACCCAGGATTAGACCAGCCATCCATCCAGTTCATTAGCACACATGAGGGCAGGCTGCCAATTATTTCAAGGGAAGTATTATCATTGCTACATCTGCCAGAAAAGAGTTCACACATCCATGTGCACTGAAACCCCTGGGTCTGTGCCTTTTCCAGCTTCTCCCAGATATCAAATGTAACACATCCTACTACAGCCTCACTCGTTGGTAGGTTCTCAACTCTAAGTTGCCCTATGGTCTTGTTCCTATAGATCACTGAAGCATCTACTATAAATTGTATAAGTAGTTTCCACACCAAATTTGACCTTGTCATTACTGACATGAGTACATTAAAATACACCTCTGGAAACAAATGCCACCACCAGAGTAGCTTTAGTGTTGGTTCCCACAGTCTGAGTAAGAGCACTGTGGCTCTTGGTGCTTTGCTTGCAGAAGAATTTTTTCCTTTCTAAGCAATTCAGGGCCGGACATATGAAGAAAGATTAAAAGGGAATTCTTCCCCAAAACACTTGCTGTGGTACAGATGGCAAATTTCCACAATGAAGTCACACATCATTGTTTTATTTATTCCTTTCATGTTATGCCTTCATAGCATAGAGCAGCAGTATACTTTAAAAACAAGGAAAATCCCAGACTATATTTACAGTGAACTAAATATTTTATAGTTCATTGACAAAATTTTGAGTATGTCCTCTTAGCACAAAGCAAAGACCCACAGTTCAGTGACTCATGATGCTCTAGAAAGCACAGACTAATCCTATCCCATTTCAGTTTGGATCTTCATTACAGCTCAGATAACACCAGTGAAACTCTCTACCCTTACTTTTCCCTCCAAATTTAGGTATGTCCAACTCAGAATTTTGCTCAGGTATGAGCTGAGGCTGGAAACACAGGGGCTTTAGTCTTCCTACAAAACTCCCCTTTGTGCAGTTCAAATTCTTTCACGCCATCTTGGAGTTAGAACAAAAAATTAAAGAAGTCACAGAATCAGACTGGAAGGACACTCTGGTTTCCAGGCCAGGACCACTGCAGCACAGAACCACAGAATGGGTTGGGTTGGAAGGGACCTTTACAGATCACCTAATCCAGCCCCCCCCGTCCTGGAGACCACAGCTTTATCTTAGCAGCGTCTTCCAATTCTGCAAGAACAGATGTTTCACAAGGTGTCCAGGCACCACTTCCCCAGATTTCAGTCTTCCAGTGAAAATCTTCCATTTTGTCCAATCTGCATCTCCCAAGCTATGGTTTTAACCACTCTCCCTTATTACACTGTCTGGCACCACCAAGAAGAGTTTGCTTTCAGGTTGTTGCAAGTGCTCAACTACTTTCCACCTACATTTCAGGCAGACTGCCTTTAACCCACCTCCTCTCCCAGCTCCACAAGCTCTCCCCACCTCCACAATCTTGGCAGTATTTTGACCTCTTCCAGTTTTTCTACACCCCTTCTGACTTGGAAGCTCAAAAGAAAGCCCTCAGCTCACAGAGCTATGGGTCATGTCAGAGTATTAGTAGCCAGATGGATGTGCAAGCCAAGTTTAGCTGCAGAACTTTCCTCCTCTTGCCTGGTCAAAGATGGTTTTACTGCTTCACCAGCAACTGTGGATTGAACTGCAGGGTTGCAACTACCCTTACCTCAAAGGAAAGGCTAATTACTCCAGATTGCAGGTTCTTCCAGACGTTAAGCCTCATTTAACAGGCTTTAAGCAATGCTTTAAGTGTTCAGCATGCATTACAAAAACATCCAGTGATTTTAATTGCAAATTTCCTTTTCCTTTCAAGGCTAGAAAACACTGCATAACAATTAGTTATTTACAATTAATTCTGCAACAATCACTTCAAAATTCACACTCTGGGGAGAGCCACCGATGTGCCACACCACAGCCATGCCTCTCAGCCAGCTCAAGGGACAGAAGAGCGAGAAGAGAGCACTCCTTACTCAACCAGGACAGCGAGGACTGCAGGGAAGACAGGTAAGGCAGAGGGTTAAATGTTGTGGAGGGCTAGCCTGAAGACTTCGTTGGTGCACACCCAAGCACCTTGTAAATTTTTCAACAAAAAGGTTTGGTGGAAGCCTAGAACCTGGTCATCATCTGCCTGAGCAGGACAGGAGAAAATAGGTTACTAGGTGAAGCACACCAAAGGCACCGGGTGACATTCTGGATGAACACTGGCAAAGTAGTCACACCAAATGAAACTCACTCCTAAAGGCTTAAAGTGATGCTTACTCCTCCTAACTGAAGCAAGCAAGCACCTAGATAATGAATAGCAACAAAAAATGGAAATAGGATGTGGATGTTTATTTATTATACCTCTACAAAAGGATAAAAAAATCCCAAACACTAATACGTATCTCAGTATCCCTTCAAGAGGATCTTTCATGTGTTGACTTGTAAACTTGTTCAATGAAAGCAATTACTGTACTGCTTTAGAGGAGTTAGATCCTTACTAGTGACTCTCCAACATCTTCTCCAAGAAGCTGTTGTGCCCAGACCCCTCAGTGCAGATGATTTTCCGCTGTAAAAGATGTTGCTTTTTTCTTTATTTACAGTTCACACTGGCATTAGCATGTCGGGCTGTGGACTGGAGCAGCACAGAGGCAGATACACATCCTGACCTTGTCACAGGGCAGTCATCATTTCAACTGGCCCCAGTTAAATCCTCTCCCTCATGGGAGGCCAAAGGCTTAAAACAACCCAAGTCTGCAGGTCTGCTTGAGGCCTAATACTCTGGTAAAGGAAATAAGACTTTGACAGCAATATCCTTAGTACCATTATTTCTGCAGAACTCTTTGTGTACAGCTAAGAGAGATGATTTGGTAACAGTTCATCCCACAGTATATGCAGGGAGAAGAGAAAGCTTTTCTGCTTTGGTTTGTTTTTCTCTCCAATGGTTTAGATATCTAGTTTAAGGAAGAAATGCAAGATGTGCTCAGCTTGCTCAGAGTGAATAATGTTTCCACTGAATTTTTGGGACTAGCAATTCAAGCAACTAATGCCTCAGAAAATCCATTTAAATATCATGCCGAGAGTGACAATTTAGAAAGGGCATGTTACAGGTATTTTAGCATTTGCATTTTCTTGGGTTTCTCTATTAAAAGCATCATGCATGCTCCTTCACTACATAAAACCATGCAAGTTTTGAAAAACTGCAGAGGATTAAAAGCAAGTGCCTTTTTTGTCCTGGGCTTTGAAGAATTTGGCTCACAGTCCCATGAAATGGATAACTGAATAGCAAGGAGGAGGCACAGCTTTACCCTTCAAACTGTGCTAATGATAGTTGTGGAAGTGCCCTTCCTTGGGCAAATCTCTCTACAGTTTTCCTTGAGACCAAGAGACACAGGCTGAGCAGGCACACCATTGAGAAGGCAAGCTTTAAATAGCACCAAGTATGCAGCTCCACGTTTGTCTGTTACAGTGCTCCCTGCTCAACTGAGGCTGCAGATGAGCCACTTGTTAAAACACACCAGCCAAACCTGGCTGTTCCCAGTTACTGCACTGTACACAGCCCAGAACTGAGAGGCATCACAATGGCTGTTAACACATGAATTCACACAGGAAGTGTTCACTACATATGACATCCATGTCATGCCACACACTGTTGCTGATCCTTCATTTGTCCACCCGTGTAAGTATCACACAAGGCAGAAGCATGAAGCTAAAGTTCTAAGTTGACTTTGACTTTCTGGATGCTTATTCACTAAGAAGCAGCATTCCCAGGGATTAAGATGTGATTTTTAAAGCCAGGATTTGAGAGACACACATGTGAAGAATGGAAAAACATTGCCTCTCCTACTAAAAGTTCATGAACAAGGTAGATTTGACAGTGACAACAGACATACTTTGAGGCAGTATGTTCTTCCCAAATACCTAGGTGCACTAACACGATTCCCAAATTATTCTGAGTATTTCAGCAAGTTAAAATTATTCAGAGGATAAAAATCACAGTAACTCCAATTCATGGTATTTATGGAAAGCTCCTGGACTGCATCTACAACCACTATGTTGATGGATGAGAAAACTCAATAGTTTTACAGAATCCTTAAGAACTTGGTATCTTGCCATAGGATTCAACACAATCACTGCTGCAAGCTGTGATCTGCTTGGAGATTATGCAATGACCTTAAAATATGTCTGTGCTAAACCAGGGACAGATGTGACTGGCCCAATACAGAGTCACAAAGCCTTGGTCAGATCACAAGGGGAGACCAGCATGTCTGCCTGCACACCTGTCCTGCACTGCAGTGCTTCCCATGGTCACACGTGGCTCTCTTTGCTCAGCAGAGTGTGTGCAGGTGGGACTGAGCAACAAGAAAGCTGGAACCCAGCTTGCAGCTAGGAAACAGGAGCAACTTTAATGAGAGTCAAAGCTATGTTAGGCTTAGAAGTGGATGCAATACACTGGGCACTGCTCTTTCCCAACAGCCCAGGCCAAAACAAAGAAAATAGCTAAGCAAGCAGATTCAAACTTTCAGTCCTACGTTCGCTTAGTAAACAGTACAGCGTCAGTGGAAGTTGTTTTGATATAGGCTTAGAAGTGGATGCAATACACTGGGCACTGCTCTTTCCCAACAGCCCAGGCCAAAACAAAGAAAATAGCTAAGCAAGCAGATTCAAACTTTCAGTCCTACGTTCGCTTAGTAAACAGTACAGCGTCAGTGGAAGTTTGAATGTTTTGATACTGGAGGTACCAGAGTTAACAGGAAAAGGAAACCTGAACAGCTCTTTTCAAACGAACTGGATTCAGGCAGCTCTAAAGACTGGATGGCTTTAGAGGCCTGACTTCACAGCATGGCTGGGCCAAACTAACTGATAATTTTAACTACTGCTATGTAATTTCACACTTTTAAAATTAACACCACCCACTGTGAGCAAGTTCTGTCTACAGCTGACTTCACATACAGGTTATTTTTTGCAGTTTCCAGGACCATGTCTTTCATTAATAAGTAGTCTCATTAACTTACAAGTCTATGGCCCTGGTATATTTGGGAAACAGGCTAAGTGTATACAGTTCAGTAGTATCACTCACACAGCAAGGTAGTAATACTACAGCCTGAAATATAATCTGATTCTTCACAAGAAGCTGTTTCAACAATAAACGTTTGATCGCAGAGGCAACAGTCTCATTGCTGAATCAGTTTTGACTACAGAGGTACTGGACAGGATTAACACCAGGACTGTATTCTCGTGTGCTGTGGCAGCACAGATGATGTCTGGGCCCAAGGGTGGTCAGCTAACAAACAGAAGCCTGTTAAATCAGAGTTCAATGCACACATTACATGAAAGAGCACATTAAATCAGATGTGCTTATACTGTCCAAGAACACTGATGATGCTTTTAAATGCAACAGTGGACACCAAAAGCTTCCTGCATCAGGGTAAGGGAAATACTGATGCCTTTAGAACCCACATATTTGTATGCACCACAAAACCCATGGTACTTTGCTTGCCAGAACATGACTGTCAAATTACAAGTAGTTTACCTAGTGCTAGTTATCTGAAGGGATGAGCAGTTTCTTGACAGTCTTGAACAGCAGAAGAATGATGTCCCAATGCAAGCTTACCCGTGTTCCTTCCCACCCACGAGAGCATTATAGTGTTTTCAGAAATCAGGTGATTTAGAATCCTGCAAAAATCTAAGACATAAGCACTTGTTAACCTGTAATGGAAAGAGTTTACCTTAAGCTGTCCCACTACCATACTGAGTATACAGCTGTCAGGTGTTGGCTGGTGGTCTTGTGCTGTGATGCTGTGTTGTATTTTTTGGAAAGGGAGACTCTGCAATGAAAAGAAATCAAAATCAGGAAATGTACAGTAACTGCATTATTTAACTTAGAAAACAAACACTGAGCAAAATCCAACGTTGTGAAGTGGTGTTTTGGTAGGGCTGTGTGGAGAGCTGTTGCAACGTGGTGCTACTTGTGCTGGGTCAATCCGAACAGCTGTGGTTTTCAGGCACCAAGACAAGAAGTAATGTCACCGTACACAGTAAACGGTACCTTTTCCACTCTAATTACACAGCCCAAAGAGCTTCAGATTATCTGTAAGCTCAAAGTTCACATGTTGAAGGCACAAACCTCTGCTTAGAACAGCGTTAAAAGATTTTACCAACTCATACTTGAGGTTTACCTGACAACTCTGAATGGCAAGTGGATGACTCAGGATCAGTATTTAAGACCTGAAATCCACATATCCACTTTTCCCTTAATTCGATGCTCAGGTAGCCAATGTCAGTATGTCTGGAGTTACATGTGCAAGGAACACACCAGACATTAAAGAACAATTCCTCTCTTTCAACTGAGACCACATTCGTGTTCCAACCACGGACAATTCCAAGCAGTGAACATCAAATATCTGAGGGACCTCAAAGTCCTGCCACACAAACGAAATTTTGGCACTGTTGTACCAAAAGCTGCAGTACTGCTAGATGCTTTACAAGTGGCAGTTCAGCATGGATGGAGCTCTGGGTGAACCACGTGGCTGACACCCAGAGGCCAGGCACTGCCCAGGATGGCACCACATGGTCATTTAAACCTCAGGTGACATTTTGATGCCTTTGCTGCATTTCTTCAATTTGGTAACAGGTTGAGGCAGACCCAAACACATACTTTGACAAGTTCTGCATTTCACTCTAGTGGAAGGAGCCTCAAAGACTTCCCAGAAGGCCTAGGGAGAGACGCGAGTCCTGTTGTCATGGATGTGAACTACAGTCTTGGATTTACAAGCTTATGGCTCTAGGAAGAATTCCAGGAAGCTAAATCCTTGGATAATTGAGAACATAGAAAGTGCTGAAGGATCAGGCCCTGGGGAAGCAAATTAAGAGTATGGAACAGCCCTCTAATTAGAGGGACACTATTCAAGAACACTCTTTAATAAAGCCTGTAGTGTTTCCTCTTGGCTGGGAAGACAATCCCAAGCAACTAGGAAGTGCAAAGTGAGCCAACTGGTTTTTAATATGGAGTAGATATTTAGTAACAATAACAAAAAAAATCCAGAGTAGTCTTTTCTGAACTATCAGCAGACTATTTTCCAGGGTGACCATCCCAAACCTGAATGTGCCCACAGAGCCTGCACAACTATAGGCTAGGACACTGCATCATCTTCCTTTGACAAAGGAGTACTACAAAGCCTGGTCCCACCTCAGCACAAAAGCCTCTTGTTGGACAAGTCCTGCGAAAAGAGTCTCTTGAAAAGGCAGCAATGAATGTGGTTGTGTCCAGACGCAGGTTCCAGTGACAAGAGTGGCAAGGCTGGGGAGAAGAAACAAGGAGGAAGGAAAGGCTTCAGAGTCAACAGCTCTGCAAAATGGTGACAAGGAACCAAATACAAGGCTGGGTGAGACACTGACTGTTTCAAGTACCTGATTCTACGGGACTAGAGGAAACAGCCTCAAGCTGTGCAAGGGAAGGTTCAGGTTGGACATCAGGAAGAATTCCTTCACTGAAAGGTTGTTACGCATTGGAATGGGTTGTTCAGGAAAGTGGAAGAGTTCAAAAAACAACTGGATGTGGCACTTAGTGTTGTGGTTTAGTTAACATAGTGGCACCTGGTCAAAGGTCAGACTTGATCTTGAAAGCCTTTCCCAACCTTAACGATGCTATGATTGTCCTCTTCACAGAAAAGGATCCCAACAGTTGGCCATTCAAGTGAACTACTCCTCTGATGCTCTGGGGCAAATCCCACGGGAAAGAGCAGGAAAGTAGCTGATAGGAAAGATCACTGATTTTTGGGAGAGGCAGAAGGTACCTCAAAAAAATGGTTGCCTATGGATGTCCATCTGTACTGGAGAGAAGCATTTTGTGATACGAAAAATACAATATAAGTGTTTAAAAAGCAAGAAGCCACACAACAACCAAGGCTTTTAGCATCCTCAGACACTAAAATTTGTCCAGGCTTTCACTAGCAAAGCCATGGAATCTTCCTTGAAGGTAAGAGAAATTCTGCAAGAATAAAATTGAGTAGCTTAAACTCACTCCTGCCAACAGGACTACCTGTCCCAGTTTCCTCCTTGGTTCAGGAAGCCACAGAACTACATGAGGAGTATCTCAAATGCTCAGTGTAAATCAGGCTGCCCTGATTAGCACAGGCACTCTATGTAAAACAAGTCCAGCATCAATTAGGACAGAAGGAACAAGTGTCAGCTCCCACACTGGAATAAGGTACAGGTGTGCCAGTGCTGGCAGAGCAATGCCTTTACAACCTTGTCCTCCTGTATTAGCACCACCTGACAGAGTAGGTTGAAAAGGTGCCAGAGCATTGCTGTTACACAGCAGAGAACTTGGTGTAAGAGACAATCCTGCCTCTTTGTGCTGACATCTCTTCACCACCAGGCACTGAAGGATATATGACTAAGGAAGTGCGAAAGAATTTCGGGGTGAAACTTTCAGGGATCTGCTCTACTGACTAAGCAGCTGCAGAAGTGCAGAGTAGGTGAGCACATGCAGCTGAAACAGCAAACGGAGCACAGGCAGCTCAGTGCTGACAGAGCTATGCTGAGCAACATCAGAGTCCTGTAAGCTGATACAGCCCCAGAACGAGTCCTGGCAGTGGAAGGGCACAGAGTAACTGTACTGCATTTCTTCCTCACTTGAAGCAGACCTAAGTAAGAAAAAGTTTCCCTGAAGCAAAGTAGCATGTCTTCACTCACCAAGTAAGACTGTGCAACAGGCACGTGACCCCAGGAAGTCCAACGTGCACCACAGACAGGGAAGGTGAAGATGAGTAATGTTGTGGTGGGAAAGGGGCTGATCTGCACTGGGATGGATCCAAGGCAGCAGTCAGACACTGGGGCCAAGCAAATGCTTAGCTGGTTGGGTATCTAAATGGCTGCTAGCCCAGAAGTCTAAAGAACACTGAGTACACAAACAAGTGACTCTGGAGCTTGAGTACCTCTTCACCTAGAGGTGAGCAGTTGCAAGCTGTGCTATTTGAAGTGTATGGCCACACAGCCACCCAAAACACAGAGCTGGGGGAAAAACTTGCCCTTCACAAAGATGCCTTGGATGAAAGGAGCAATTCCACAAGACAGGACCTACTAGTAGCTATGCAACAAGGGTAAAGTTGCAATTATTTTTCTGCTCAATATGTAATACAAATGATGCATCTTTATGAAATACCATGCTCTGAGCAGACCTGAGGACCTAAGGCATGTCCTCCACATATCTTGCAAGAGTAAAACTTTCCCATCTCATGACAGCTTCTAAGTGCACACAGCTTTATAACAGAAGCATGGATTTACTCAAAAAGATAAAACTTCTCCAAGTTTGTCTAAATGAACATGGAGTTCCACAGCCTGAGTAAGAAATACTTTCCTCTCACCTGTCAAAGAGCAAATACTTGTCTGAGTCCTGAGCCATACCTGAGCAGCTGACAAATCTGCACTGAGGGTAAGTCGGCTTCTCTACTGCAGAACTCATTTGTAGTTTACGTATCAGAAAACAAATTGTTTTTGGCAATAATGTGTCTGGCCTTTATCACAGACAGATCCTAGTAACAGGTTTGCTATTGCTACTTCCTTGGCATGCCTGAAAAGAGCAGAGACACCTTTCATTCTTCTAGATCACAGAGGCAGCTCATGCATTAGACCTTTAGAAAAGGAATAAATCAATGTCAAACAACTGCAGTCACAAAATAACCATGTAAACCTCAGAGTCAATTAACATTCCACCATCAGAGCTGCCAGCGGAACACCCCAATATGTAGAATCACAAGTAACATTTTTTGAAGAGCAAAGCTAGAAGCACAAGTTCTGTATTCAAGATTTTTAAACTGCTTATGTCTAAGTCAAACTTTCAGAAGTAATTACCTTATAGCCTTCATAACTGTTTCCCAAAACATTCAGTAAGGGATTACAGACTTACAGTGAGTTTTTCAACAATGGCTGCTTTGCCCTGGAACTGCTGTCCTTCCCATGTAAGGCATGATGCATCAATCTGAGGGGAGGAGAAAAAAAAGTCATCAACCTGCTTAGATAACCCTTCAGCAATCCTGGTAAGAGATTTTGTTTATCCTTAGTACACCTGCAGGGTTATACTCCAACTCACTTAAGTCAAGCAATTCACAGCAAAAGTGACTGGCCACAGCACCACCTGGCACAGGTCACAGGAGCTCAGTTGACTGGGAATACACCACTGAAGAAAAAACGGAGTCTTGTGGTGGAAGTAGTGATACAGGAATAC